ATGTACAACCTATTGAACATGGAGAGGTAGAGCTGGTACCTATCTAGACCTCTTACCCCTACAGACTAGTGCTCATGGTACAGGATAGTACTCTGCCCTCTGCCAAAGGAGAAAGGAGAACACCAACCCAGCTACAAACCCTTTGATCTACAATGGTGATTTGCCTGCAAGACCTGCTCATGCAATAGTCACACAATGCTTATGTGTGTAAAAAACCAATATCTGATTTGATTTGCAGCCTGCTCCATGAGATGAAACCTATGCCCAACACTGCTTTGGTGGCCATGAACCTGAGATTAGATATGCCAGGGACCTAGGGGAAAACCAAATAAAGTACTGCTGTTTTTCTGCAGGAACATAGCAATAAAATGACCCCTAGTGACATTATACTATAATCATAAATCAGTGCCTTGCTCAGCCATCATCAGAGAAGCTTCCTCCTGTAGAATATGGGAACAAATACAGAGATTCACAGCCAGAAAACGTGCAAAGAGTGAGAGACCTTGGAACACTCAGTCCTAAATAAGATGTCTTCATCAAATCCTTCCACCCAGGGCTCAGAAAACTCTGCAGAAGAGGAAGGGGAAAGACTGTAAGATCCAGAAGGGATGGAGGGAGATCAAGGAAACAAGGCCTTTTAGACACAACAGTGTTGACAAACATATAAAGTCACAGAGACAGTGTCAGCACACACAGAGCCTGGATGGGTCTGCATCAGATGGAGACCTAGAGCAGAAAGGAGAAGTGGACACACAGTCCCATCCTTAAACCAGAGACTATCTCCAATTGATAACAACTTGTAAATGAATACTTTGTGTTCTCCAAAGGAGTCTCACTGGAGAAACAACCAGTCTTTAAAGGTAGGCCATATGCCCAGAAGTAAATGGCCAACTCAAATTGAACTCAATGGTGGTTTTGGAAGTTCTTTGTATCATAATGTTGAGTCAGTGTAATGGTATTTGCTCTGCCCATGACCTTGGGCTATACGGCCCAAAGGAGGCAGTGCTTCCTGAGTTGCGCATGACCTCTTATAAGGAAAGTGAGAAGGGTCACAAAAAAAAAAAGTAGAGAGATGGCTCAGTGGTGAAGAGTACCAACTGATGTTCCAGTGGAACTGGGTTCAATTCCCAAGCTGTCTGGTGTCTTGATCACGCCAGGATTAAAAAAAAAAAAAAAAAGGACTCATGTGATCCCTCTCCCTTTCCTTATAAGAGGTCACTTACAACAGCAGGAAGCACCGCCTCCTTTGGGCCTTATAGCCCAAGGTCATGGGCAGAGCAAATACTACTACAAGTCAGGGCTTTTTTTTTTTTAACCTTGCTGTTTCTTTGTATAAATATTATGGCTTCTGATTTTTGTTTTTATGGGATTACCATATGGGCAAACATATGTGTCTCTGCATTTATATGTGATTCTTGTGGTTTTTTCTTTGACTCTTTTTCTTCTGTTTGTTTTATCCTATTCTGATTTTTTGTTTAATACTATTTTATTTTACCATTACTCCTTAGATACCTGTTGGTTTTCGAAGGAGAGACAGAAAGGGTGTGGCTCTGGATGGAAAAGGAGGTGGGGAGGAATGGGAAGGAGCAGAAAGAGGGGGAACAGTAATCAGAATATGGTTATAAAAACATCTGTTTTCAATAAAAGGGAAATGAAAGTGTTGTTTGTTTTGTTTGCTTGTTTTTCTGTAATGTATTTGGTTTTGTATTAGGATTATATTAGAATCATAAAATTATTTGGAAAGCACTGTTGTCTCCTCTGAACACTCCTATGAAGCTGGTGCATTTCTTTTAAGTGTCAATAAATGGCTGTGTATATGTGTGTATGTGTGTGTGTTTATTTTTCTTATTACTGATTTATTACTAATTTAGTCTCTTCATTTGTTAAAAAAAAACAGCTAGTTGTTTTTTAAAATCAACAAAATTTAGACAGACTTGTTAAGATAAAAGAGACTAACCTACTGGATTCAGAGATGAACTAGGAGATTCTATAAATATTAAGAAAGGATTGTTGGGCCCAGCACAGTGGTACACCCTTTTTATCTCAGCACTCAGGAAGTAGAGGCAGGTCGAGCTCTGTGAGTTCTAGGCCAGTCTGGTCTACATATTGAATTCTAGGTCAGTGAGCTCTACATAGTGAGAGCTTGTCTCAAAAATAACAAGAGATTAATGACTAATGGCATTTTGTGTGTGTGTGTGTGTGTGTGTGTGTGTGTGTGTGTGTGTGTGTGTGTGTTTGTGAAACAGGGTTTCTTTGTGCAGTCCTGGCTGTCCTGGAACTCACTCTGTAGACCAGGCCGACCTCCAACTCAGACATCTGCCTGTCTCTGACTCCTGAGTGCTGGGATTAAAGGTGTGTACTACCACCACCTGCAATCCTAATGAGAAAATTTAATGGATGGGACTTAGAAGCAGAATAGAGGCCATCAATGGCCAAGGTTTATAAGTTTCCCTTTTAGTTAATGTTCAGTTATGATTTGGAAAAATGGTATTATTTTTATTCTGATGGCAATTTATATGTGAAGCTTCTAAATGACCCAAGATAATAAATCCCACAAAATATATTCTTCTCCTTCACCTAGGTTCAATTTTTCATGAGGGAGGAATCACCAAATCGGGAAGTTCAACAGTGATTTCCAGTCATTTAAATAAATTAACTTTGATTTGAAGCTATATTACTAGATAATTGCCCATGGCTTATTTAAATTATAAGATCAGGTTTTTATTTTTAAGTCTCATTACAAAGTTTCATTCTAAAAGAAAGTTTGGTTTCTTAAGAGATGACTTATGTATCTCTAAGTAATTGGCAGACCAGATATACCGGTTGTGTAGAAATAGATCACAGCTAACTCAGAGTAGTATAGCCAACAATTTTACTGTGTTCAGGCTATAATAGTGAAGATAAGAATATTTCAAGAGAAAATCTTTGGGGGCCCAAGACTAAAGTGTCATCTTACATATGAAGCCAACTGTTTCTGGCTTTAGGTCCACCTAAGAAGTTAACTGTAAAAGCCAGAAAATAAGATTGACTTTTTATCAGCCATGCCATCTCTGTCACATTGTCAACTTCACCATGAGACAATGAAAACAGCTGTACAAATTATGTAACTGGGTACAGCTCTGTTCTAATCAAACTTGAATGTCAAAGGCTGGCACTGGTAATTTGTAGTTTGTCAAACCCCAAACTTGAGGAACATGTAACCAAGACTGTCTTAGTTAAGTTCTCTATTGTTGTAAAAACCATGGTCAAAAACAACACATGAAGGAAGGAAGAGGTTCATTTGAGATTACTGTGGTAGTCTAGCATGAAAGGAAGTCAGGGCAGAAACTCAAGGAGAGCAGAAACCTGGAGGCAGGAGCTGGTGCAGAGGCCATGGAGGAGTGATACTTACTGATTTGCTCAGTATGGCTTGCTCAACTTGCTTTCTTATAGACCCAGAACCACCAGCCCAGGAGTGGGATGCCCTAAAGTTTGCTTTCCAACATTAATTATCAATCATCGGTCAAGAACTTCACCCATAGGCCAATTTGATGGGGGCATTTCCCCCGTGAGGTTCTCTTTCCCAAAATGACTAGCTTCTGTGAATCTGACATAAATCAATCAGCATAAAGACTAGTTCAGAATAAGAACTGTGCCTCATAGGATGGCTTTCTAGTTTGCCTGAAAGCATATCCATAATGCTCCTAATAGTTTGCCTAAATAGTTTGCCTGAAAGCATATCCATAATGCTCCTAAATACGCATAAGTATTTGACTCTCCCTAAATAAGTAAGAATATTAGAAAGACTATAAACATTGACGTGAAGTTAATTACTGACTTCAACCAGACAGTTAAAGAAGAAAAGTAGATGGCACTCCATAGACAAATAATGTGAATCAAAAAAAACTTACTCATAACATGCAAATACCAGAGATTATAGTCAGAGAGAGAACTGTTTCATTCAAGCATGTGCAGAAAGGACATAAGCAGATGAGGAAGACACATGCCACAAGCTGAGAAGTTACTGGAAATCTGTATTAAAAGCTATTACTCCTATTGAACTGGCAAATTACCAACATTCTACCATCCTCTCTTCACCCTATGTACTGTGCATTTTATCAATCAACAGGAGAAAACCAAGTAGCAGATGAATGAGTATTAACAGCAAAATTACTTACTGGCTTTTTCAATAGAGAAAGAGCCTTCTCAAGGGGGCTCAAGTAGCTTCCAGTGGAAGTTTTATCCTGACATTTGTGGTCCTCACATCTAAGTTAGCATTCTCTTTGCTTACCATAAAATAACACATTTCTACTAAAATCCCAGAAACATAACCATACACAAACCAAACAATAGTGATAGTTTAAGTGTGATTGTAGCTGGAGAGATAGCTCAACCATTAATAGCACTTGCTCCTCTTCCAAAAGATCCAAAGTCAGTTCTCCATGCCCAAAATGGGTGACTAATAACTGTTTGTAACCCCAGCTCCAAGGGACCTAATGTCATTTTCTGTATTCTGTGGAAACCTGCATACATGTGACATATTCTCTCTCTCTCTCTCTCTCTCTCTCTCTCTCTCTCTCTCTCTCTCTGTCATACACACACACATACAAACACAAACACACAAGCATACACAGAGACAGAGACAAGAGAGACAGAATCATAAAGAGAGAGAGACACATGCATAGGCAGAGACAGAAGCTTCATCACAATAGAGCACATATTGGGATACAAAGCATCTCTCTTTTTAAATTAATTAACTTATTTGCATTACATCCTGGCCATGCATTCTCCTCCATCTTCTCCTCCCAGTGCCTCCTCTGTTCCTGTTTCTACCCCCCGCCCCCGCAATCCACTCCTCCATTTCTGTTTAGGAAAGGTCAAGTCTCCCTTGAGTATCAACAAAACATGGCATATTAAGCTGGAGTAAGACTAAGGATCTCTCCATGTATTAAGGCTGGGCCAGGTGACCCAGCATTAGGAGTAGGGTTTCAAAAGCCAGTAAAAGAGTTAGAGACAGCCCCTGTTCCCACTGTTAGGAATCCCATAAGAGCACCAATGTATATAACTGTTAATATATGCAATATGCCTAGGTCAGACTGGTGCAGACTCCCTGGTTGTCAGTTCAGTTTCTGTGAGCCCCTATGAGCCCAGGTTAGTTGATTCTGTGAGTTTTCTTATGTTGTCCTTGACACACATTTGGTTCCTAAAATCCTCTCTATCCCTATTCTGCAGGATTCCCCAAATTCTGCCTAATGTTTGGCTATGGGTCTGCACCTGTTTCCATCGGTGGCTGGATGAAGCCTCTCTAAGGACAATTGGGTTAGGCACCAATCACCAATCTGGTCACAGGAGATGTGTAAGCAAAACCACGAGAGTCTGTTAAAGGGGTATCAAGGATTTATTAAGATATAAAATGGGAAAAATACATTCACAGGTACAGAACAAGTAAACAGCAGTCATTGGCCTCCATTCTACCTGAAAGTGCATGGTTCTGGCCCTCAGGTCTCTGATCACCCCAAGAGAGAGTGCACAACTTGACTCCCTCTGCTCTTAAGGGGTCACATATGCAGACAGAAGGCCATGCCTTAGAGTTTGTACCCTCAAAGCCATTGATGGAACGAGTTCCAACAGAGATGGCCATTTCAAGCTACATATCTAAGATTCCTAGCAATAGCAGATATGTTGTGGATTCCTGGGAGAGTCCCTTGCACCAGATTTTTACCTGGCCCCCAAACGCCCCCTCCCCTCCAGTGGTCTCTTCAATACTCTGCCCCTTTGTCCCCCTCAACCTGATCATTCATGGTCCTATGCCCATCCTCCCTCTGTTTACTCACAAACTCTCTTCTATTTCCCCTTCCCAGGGAGATCTGGGTATCCCCCCATGAAACACCTTTGTTACCTATTCTCTCTGGGTCTGTGGATTGTAGCATAGTTACGCATTATCTTACAGCTAATATCCACTTATTAGTGAGTACATACCATGCTTGTCTTTTCCAGTCTGGATTATCTCATTCCCAATGATTTTTCTAGTTCCATCATCCATTTGCCTTCAAATCTCTTGGTGTCCTTGTTTTTTTTAACAGCTGAGTAATACTCCACTGTGTAAATGTAACACATTTTCTTTAGCCATTCTTTGGTTGAGGGACATCTAGGTTGTTTCCAGTTTCTGGCTAGATCCCACCTAGCTAAGTGTCCAACTTGTGTAGAGGAACAAAAGAAAAGCTTAGAGCCAGGTGTGGTGGGGCACACTTCTAATCCCAGCACTGTCACATCTCTGAGTTTGAGACCAGCCTGGTCTACAGAGCAATTCCAGAATAGCCAAGCTTGGACAATGAAGAAAACCATGGAAATCAGATAGACGGTGAACTGAGTGAGTGGGCCATGTTCTAGCTCCAACAAGATGCACAACTTGGCAGTTTTGGCCATGTGGTTCTGGCTTTACAGTTAATGATAAGAAAAAGAGGTTATGGAATTTGCTTCAGCACCTAAGGAAAGCAACTGAGGTCAGGCATGTGTCAGTGGTATCCCTGAATGGAGGCCTAGAGAGTCCAATGCATGAAGCTGTGAATTGAAGCCTGAATTTCCTTGGAAAACTCAAGATGTTAGAGATGCCAAAGTCACTGGATACCTGCTGAGGAGAGCTGCTAACAGAGAGTGGAACCAGCCCAAGAGAAAGAAGTGTGTTGTAGTCAACAAAGCTGAAAGGAATTGGAGATCTGAAGAGTGCTTTGTTCTCAGACATGGAGATGCCTAGTTTGGAGTTTGCTCAGCTGGCTTTTGGTCTTGCTTTGGTCCATTATTTCCTCACACTGCTTCTTTATCTACATTTTGGAGTGGTAATGCATGTCCTGTGCCATTACATGCTGGAAGTATGTGATCTGTTTTCTTTTATTTTGATTTATAGGGGATTATAATTCAGAGATTGTATGAATCTTAGAAGAAACTTGGAACTTTCAATTTTTAAATAAGTTTGAGACTGTTATAGATATGGGGACTTCTGAAGTTGAGCTGGATGCATTTTTACATTATGATATGACTATAAGTCTTTGGGGGCCAGGGAGTGGAATGTGGTAATTTGAAAAAAAGTGGCCCCTAATGGAAGTGACATTATTAGGAGGTATGGCCTTGTTGGAGTAGGTGTGGCCTTGTTGGAGTAGGTGTGGCCTTGTTGGAGTAGGTGTGGCCTTGTTGGAGGAAGTGTGTCACTGTGGGGGTGGGTATTGAGTTCTCCTATGTTCAAGCTACTCCCATTTCCCATTGCCTGGAGATGTAGGACTCTCAGTTACTTCTCCAGCATCATGTCTGCCTGCATACTACCATGTCCCACCATAATAATAATGTACTGAACTTCTGAACTTTAAGAGAGCCACCACAATTAAATGTTTTTTCTTTATAAGAGTTGCTGTGGTCATGGTGTTGCTTCACAACAATAGAAATTCTAACTAATATACTATTCAAAACCTCCCAAGTGTAAGAAGCCCAGGTATAGATAGATTTAGCACAGACAATCAAAGAACTGATAAAATTATTCCATAAAACAGAAAAAGGAAGACTTCCAAATTCTTCTTACTAGGCAAATATTTTTCTGATACTAAAACCAGATAGTGATCTAAGAAGAAAGGAGATGTATTGGCAATCTTCCTGAAGAACACAGATGAAACACTCTGAATAAAATATTTACAAACCAAATTTAAGAAAAATTAAAAAAAATCACTAATCATTATCAAGAAACTTTTATCTAGAGATGCAGAGCAGGCTTAACAGACATAAATCAATAAATACAATCTACCACATAAAAAGATCCAAGGACAGAAATCTCATGATCATCTCAGTATATGCAAGGACAGCCTTTAAGATAATCCAATTATTTTTTTTATTAAAATTCTGAAGAATAGGGATGCAGGAACATATATTAACAAAATACAGGCAATATTTAACAAGCCTGCAGCATACATAATGTTAAATGGGGGAAAGGTCAAAGCATTTCCAGTAAAATCAGAAACAAAACAAAGATGTTCATTCTCTCTACTTCTGTCCAACATAATGTTGGAAGTCTTAACTAAAATGTCAAGACAAGAGCAAGGGATGAAGAGGACACAAACAGGCAAGACAGAAGTCAGTGTATCCTTATTTATAGATGATACAGTTTTATACATTAAAAACTCTCCTCAAGAACTTAAACAGATAATAAACACATTCAGCAAAGCAGCAGATAAATAACTTGTGCACAAAAAAATTGGTTGCCTTCCTATATACATACCAACAGCAACATACAGAAAAAGAAATCAGGAAAATGGTCTCATTCACGATAACCTAAAAAATAAACAAAGTATCTTGGGATAAACCTAACCAAGGAGCTGAATGACTCAAACAATGAAGACTTTAAGACACAAAAGTGTAAAAACTAGATACCAAAAAAACAAAACAAAACAAAACAAAGAAGATATCAGAAGATGGAAAGGACACCACTTGTGCTCATTGATCGATATTGAGAAAATGGCCATCCTACCAAAAAAAATCTACAGTTCAACCCAATACCCATCAAACATAAATCTTCACAGAACTTGAAAAATAATCTTAAAATTAATACAGAAGTTTACGCACAGTAGTGCACAAATTTAATCATAGCATATGTGAGCAGAGGCAGGCAAATTTCTTTGAGTTTAAAGTCATCCTGGCTTACATAATGAGTTTCAGGCCAATCAGGGTTATGTAGAGAGACATTGCTTCAAAAAATTAATATAAACACACAAAAGACCAAGGATAACCATAGCAATTTTGAATAATAAAAATACTATTGGGATTATGACCATCCCTAACTTCAAGTTGTGCTACAGAGCTCTAGCAATAAAAACAACATGGTACTGATAGAGAAATAGACACCATGGGACTTCATGAAACTAAAATCCTTCTGTATAAACAAAAGAAACTTTATCATTTGAGTTCAGAGGCATGCTACAGAATGAGAAAGTATCTTTACCAGCTTTGCATCTGAATAGAACCAAACAAAGTCATTAAAAGGTAAAATATAACTGTCAGAGAAATAACTTTTTGAATATTCAACTTTCTTAACCACCAGGGAAATATAATTTAAAATGACTTTGAGATTTCACCTTACCCCAGTGAAAATGGCTAAGATCGAAACAACAGCAAGAGAAGACAACTGCTGACATGAATTTTGGGGAAAAGGACCACTTATTCACTATTGGTTGGAGTGCAAGCCAGTGCAACTGCTTGGAAACCAGTGTGCAGGTTCCTTTAAAAAACTGAAAATAGGGCCGGGCGGTGGTGGCGCACGCCTTTAATCCCAGCACTCGGGAGGCAGAGCCAGGCGGATCTCTGTGAGTTCGAGGCCAGCCTGGGCTACCACGTGAGTCCCAGGAAAGGCGCAAAGCTACACAGAGAAACCCTGTCTCAAAAAACAAAAAACAAACAAACAAACAAAAAAAACTGAAAATAGTCCTACCACATGACCCAGCTATACTATTCTTTTGAGTACAAAAGACTTCATATCTTACTACAGAGATACCTGCCCATGCTTCTTCAATACTGTTCTGTTCATAATGAGGGGCAAATGGAAACAACCTATATGTCCTATATATTGGGCAGAAAATGAAAATGTAGCAAATACATACAATGGAATCTTATCCAGATGTAAGAATTATGAAATTTCTAGGCAAATAAATGAAGCTGGTAATAATTATTCTGGATAAAGTAACCCAGGCCTAAAAAGGCAAACTGTGCATATTCTCCCTCATATATTGATGCTAGTTTAAAATTTTCATATATGTGTATTTGAAATGGAGTACCAATTGAAGACAGAAAAATTGTAAGGGGCCAAATCAGTGTATGCTTACCAAGTGAGGACAGAATGGAGGTGTTAACAAAGAAGAAAGGGAAATAATGGAACAAGAAGGATTAAATAGGGGAGATAAGAGGGCTGGGTAGAGAAGAGGGTGTGGAGAGGGCTAACTAACACTAAATTCCTTTGGAAACAACAGAGGGAAACATACTAACCTACTAGTTTTGAAGTCTCTCATATATATATATATATATATATATATATATATATATATATATATATATATATATATGAGAGAGAGAGTGCAAAGGAAATTACCCTGTAACAGGAGGACAATGCCCTTCCCAGTGAGTATATGCAAAGACTTGCATAAGATCAAGTCAAAAGTATAAGCATGGATCAGGGAAGTTCATTGTTCCTACCCCTAGCTGAGGATCTATTGACAATTGATGGCTGCTGAAGGAGGAACAGCCGGTTTTCCTTGACGATATGGTGGCACCCAAGAGGCTACCCATGCTCCAAGAGGTTCATATGCCCCATGGTTCCACACATGCACTTAGCATTAAGATAAGAATTCAGAAGGTGCTTGTTTTAACAAAATTAACACATGAAGTTGGGAAGGAATAGCAATGGGGGGTATGAGGGACTGAAGGAGAGTGAGTGGGAGATGAGTGTGAATTTGATAAATTACATTAAAAATAAAATTTAAATTTGAGAAGTTGAAAATAAAATGAAAATTAAAACAAAGGGAAACATCAGCATACATCATAGAGAGTGACTAAAATTTTCAAAATTGACCGTACAGCATTTGGAGAACATGTCAAAATTGACCGTACACCATTTGGAGAACATGTGGAAGAACTGAAGTGTAAATGCACAATGGCAAAAGCACTTTGGGGTCATTGGATAGTTTCACAAAGTTGACCACTACACACAACTGTAATATCTGCTTTCAGGTATTTACTTAAGAAAAGTGAAAGCAGAATTTTAGGCAAAGGCTGGTATGTGTAAGTTCATGGTTGCTTCATAGGTAAAATTCAGAAATGGAAAAAATATAAACTATCAAGAGATGAATGATTACATACACACACACACACACACACACACACACACACACACACACACACACACACAAACACTATGTGGAATACACATGGAATGGAATACTCTCCAACAATAAAATGTAGGGACTACTGATAGACACATCAGAATGAATTTCATTTGTATTAAGAAAATTCATATTTTTTTATTCCATTTTATGCAACAATTTAGAGAAGTCAAATATCTTGTCTATCAGTAATTGAAAGTGCATTAGCTATTGCTTGGATAATGGGATTAGGAATGAATATGTCCACAATTTAGATGCTGATGATGTTTCACATTCCAAATTTTATTCAAGTCCATACTTTAATTATTTGCAATTTTTCATTATTTATAATTCTAAAATGATACTTGGGAGATGAAATAGAAGTACTAAAAGGTAAAGTAAACCTCTCAGCACACATTGCTGGTAGACAACCTCTCCCCCATATAAAATAATAACAAAAAAACTAGAACAATCTGTGAGTTCTAGGCCAGCCTGGTTTACAGAGCAAGATCCAGGACAGGCACCAAAACTACACAGAGATCCCCTATCAGCGCACTTGGTTCAGACAGAGCTGACAGATTCAGGAAGTCTCTCTCTCTTGTCCAGATGGGAACTCCGGGGCAGGATGGGAGCTCTTGTCCAGAAGGTGGGGGGGGGGGAGGGGGGAGAACAAGGGAATCTGTGGCTGATATGTAGAACGGAATTGTATTGCAAAATAAAAAAAATATTGAAAGCTAGCACCTTTAATGAGTGGGAAATATATAGCTCTTTCTTGCTATAGAATGAAAAAGAAAAACAGAAATAAAGCTATTTAATGTGAAAAAAAACTACACAGAGAAACCCTGTCTCAAAAAACAAAAACAAAAACAAACAAAACCAACAACAAAAACCACCCCCCCAAAAAAACACAAATCAAAAACAAGCAACAAATCCTAGAACAAATCAGAAACATTATACATCTATAGCTGCTATCTTCTTAACGGGGTTTGCTGCTGCCCAAGCTCCTGTTGAGTTAGTTCTGCAGTGAGGAGGTGTAGGAGCTGTTGGGAGTGGTTTTCACTGTATGGCGGTGGGAGCTGTTGGGACTAATTTTCATTGTGGGAGTGGAGATGGATTATCCTTTGTCCCAGGAGTGGACTAAAGCACTTTGGAGTCAGTCCTTTCTCTATCTTTCTCCAGTGCCCATTCTCTCTCTGTCTCTCTGTCTCTGTCTCTCTGTCTCTGTCTCTCTCTGTCTCTCTCTGTCTCTCTGTCTCTCTCTCTCTGTCTCTCTCTGTCTCTCTCTGTCTCTCTCTGTCTCTCTCTCTCTCTCTCTCTCTGTCTCTCTCTCTCTCTCTCTCTCTCTTTCTCGTCATAAATTGAAAAATCATGCACCTCTCCCTAGGTGCCACCACTGGCTTCTGCCAGCCTCCAGAGCCTTGAGACAAAATAAATCCTTAGGTATTCAATTACATCAAAAATCAAAATCAGTTACAGAAAATCAAGGAAAACAAGAATCAAACTGGTTATAATAAAAATCTGACTAGCAGTATTACAAAAGAGAAGATGAAAATTTCTTCAAAATAATAGAAGAAAAATGTTTAAAGCAAGAGACACAGTCCTTTAGATTGAAGGTTGCTTAAGATCCAACATGACAATTAAAAATTTACACTAAATATCTACCCTGTGAAACAGTGAAAAGATGGCCCTTGGACCAGAAGCAGTTGTGTTGGGGATGGAATCAGGAATAAAAAGATCACCTTGCTCGACACAGGAAAGACTCAGGGGAGGAATAACTAGCATTAAGAATGTTTGAAAAGGCCATATGGATACCTATTTTATAAGCTGCTCGAATATATATTCATATAGACTAATTCAGTGGGAAGTAACTCTACACAAAGGAAAACCTTAAAGAAGCCATAGACTGCCAATAAAAAGCCCAGTGCCAGGTTTGGTACACCTCCTCTCTATTTCTTGGTCACAGGTGTCTTTTACCAATTTTCTTTCTTGCCCACCAGAACTTAATGGTAAGATCCTATTGCTGGAGACCCCACACACTTTGGTCACAGGACATTGAGAAATGTACTTGGTAATCACCAGGAAGTTTCCTCTGTGCTGGCCAACTTTCATAGTAGGTATCTGGAGGAGAAACTGAACCCTATAAACATCAATAATGACTGGAGTGCATGGAGAGATATGCCTATGACAGCAACAATGACATGAAAGTTATGGGAGTAAACACATCTTTTATTAATTATTTTATTTAATATTCAAACACACAACCACTTTCAGATTAGATTTACAGGACTTTCAACAAGAATCAATACATACCTGTTACTGTAAGTCTGGCTAAGCACAATTATTATTAAGAAACTCAGAAGACCCACTGATGAACTTACTGTAGTTCTGCTAAATGGACATCATGCCAAACTACCCTCTAAATTTGTATCTCTCTATTCATAAATTAATGCAGCTCAAGACCTCATCAGAGAAGTTTGTGCACTGGATGATGGTTAGTGAAGAAACTCACAACTGGTTGAAGTCAAAGAATAAGTGCTGGTGGAGAGTTTATCCCCTTTTGGGACCATGGAAGAAGAGAGGGTGGGTAGGTAACAACAGCCAGGGTTTGGGGAGTACCAAAGTGAAATGAGATCTTGTGGACATGACAGAATCTCTGCACTCTGAAGTTCAGCAGCTGTGGTTCCTCCTACAAGACCTGTCTAAGATAAAACTGGTTATCATTCTAACATAGATGAGGAGGAGATTCTGGCTGGAGAACTATTAACAGTTGATGGCTTCTTGGAGAAGGAGATGGAGTTTTCTCTGATGATGAGCACCTGGTAAGCAAATAACTCTGCAGTGGATGATCACACACCCACAAGTACCTGGGCAGTACGAATTGGGCTGTTTGTGTCCTTTTTTAAAGAGGACACAAAGTTGGGAGCTTTTTGTGGAGATGGAGGTAGATCTGAGAAGAATTAGGGGTCATGTGAGGGTGAATATGATCAAGATATGTTATCAACGAACTAATAAAACATTGTATTTTAAAGAGACCAATCAGCATCACACTTGTTACCAGCCTCCCTGCATGACAAACACAGCAGAAGAGAAGCCTCAACAAGTGAGGGAAATTATCACCTCGAGTCAGTTCTAATCCCTAGTGAACATAAAGGATTCCAGAGAAATTCAGATATAAGAAAAACGTTTGGTCACATAACACCTTTCTGGGACATTAGCTGGGTATGAGCTAAGGTGTGATGATGGATAGAGCCTGGAAAGAGGAAGACAGGAGCCAAAACATTATTGAAATAATCTAAAGGTTTAATGGAATGAAATAATTGAACCCGAGTTTTCTATCAGGCCTCCAAACAGGCAATTTTAACTAGTAGAGGAAGTCAGGAAGAAGATGGCTTCATGAAGAAAATATTTCAATAGTAAGGTTAATGTCTGAAGTGGTAGATAAGAGTAGCTTCTTGCTGGATATGCTGGTGCATGCCTTTAATCCCAGCACTCAGGAGGCAGAGATAGATGGATATCTGTGAGTTCCAGGCCAGCCTGGTCTACAAAGCAAATTCCAGGACAGCCAGGACTGTTATACAGAGAAACCCTGACTCAAAAAACCAAAAATAAATAGAGTAGGTTCTTTGTGTCTTTCTTCATGGAGAAAAAATAAGATGCACAGTGAGCATCATGGTTCACATCAGTGAAGTTGAGGCTGGTCTCAGCTATGCAGTGAATTCCATGCCAGCCTGAGATGAACAAGGATGCTCTCAAATTAATAAGGGAAAGGCTAAAGACAGAGGGAATGAAGGAAAGGAAAGGAGAAAGGGAGAGGAATAACTAGAAACCAGAGACCCCAGGACCTATATTGATGTGTGATGGGAAGCAATTCAACCTACAGAATTGATAGTCTGTGTAGCTTGAATCAAGTGGAAGAGTGTTAAAAAAAAAAAAAAAAGTAACCCATTTGACCTGGACCTTAGTTAGCTCTGTTTTCCTTTCATTTGAGGTTAAGACACAAAACCAAAAAAGGTTTAAAGAAACCCGACTAACTGCCTAGCTCTGCATTGAATTATATTTGTATAATTTTGAAATTTCTACGTCGGTAGTTTGTTTTCAACTTTTAGAATTAGTTTCCCAGTGAAGTTCTCCAGGACGGAGTCTAGTGAAGTGCAGCTCCTGGATGCTCTCAGCTTGGCTTGTGCCGTTGGCCTGTGCCAGTCTCAAGGCAGAAGCCTGCAGTGGGTAAAGCAATTCTCTTCTCTCTTCTTGCAGTAATGACTTTTACACATTTAACAGGATCAGTAAGCCTTTAACTGCACTCACAGAGCACAGTTCAAAAGTGTGAGTGTTCATTGGTTCTCAACTTTCAGCAGAAGTTTGTAAACATAGTGTTAAACATCGACATTTTGTGACTGCAACTGGAGCATAAACATTTTCAAACCTGATAGCAAAAAATTAAAGATACAGCTAAAGTTAGATTGGGGGCAGAAAAGGAGAAAGAGAAACCCATTTAAGGATGGAAGTTTTTAGTGTTTTTATGTTTTTTTTTAAAGCCTTTATTTCTACACCATCCTTAGAAGCCAAGACAATGAACCACCCTGGGATCAACAGATGGATGGCTAAAGTGTGGCCTATACACACAGTATCATTACTTAGCCAGAAAGAGAGTGATGGCTTATCTTTTGCAGCAACATGGATTTGGAGCTAGGGTGTGTTAAATGACATCAGCCAGACATAGAAGAACAAATATCATGTGTTCCCTCTCATATGTGGAAGCTGCAAACATTGATCTCAGAGCAGAAAAGAAGAATAGCGATTACCAGAGAGTAGGAGGAGTGGAAGGAAGCTGGATGGAAAAAGGCAAGCCAACCAGTGTAAGGTTGAGCATCCAGCAGCACAGTAGGCAACTATACACCACACTAGCCTGTCATGTACTGTAGGAAATACTGCCAGAGAGGAGCAGGGAAGCACTAAATATAGAGGAAGAAATGATGCTAACGCACTTTGTATACAAGGTAACACTGTACTGTATACATCATTACATTTTAAATTTGAAAACAAAATGACAGCAAATTAATTAAACAAGAGGTCAATACCTAAACCCAGTGTAGCAAGACGAAGAGATTTAACTTCTTAGAGATATTTTCTAGTCAACTGGTGGTCAGGTCCCTTAATCTGTTTCAAGAAGCACAGGGCCACTAGGCCCACTCTTCTCTCTCATGTCAATATGTGGTTATTTAGTTCTTTATTTTGTTTCTTAAGAACCTGCCTCAACTGAATGCACCAGGCTCTGCTGACACCCCATGGGAGACTTTGCCTTGGAGGAGATGGGAATGGGGGATGGAAAAGGCTGGGGGGTGGGAAGAGGGAGGACAGAGGAATCTGAGGTTAATATGTAAAATGAATAGAAAATCTCTTAATAAAAAAATAAAGTAAAAAAATTAAAAAAAGAACACTGGAGATTGAAGTCAAGGTCTAGTGCATACATGCACCGTACTTCTGCCCAGCTGCAGCTGGCTGCATGTTCAGTATTTGTATTCTCTATGTGCAGCCTGCTGATTCTGAGTTGAATCTGCTTATCTAAAACCAAGAGGCATGGAATGAGTCTCTCTAACACTAGAAATGTCTCAATCAATAATGGCTGCTATTTTAGTCCACCTGGTACAAGTCCCTACTCTAGAACTGTGGAGGCTTTTAAAGAGCCAGTCTCCTCCAAAGTGTATCCCCTTTACGATGAGCAGTGATAAGCTCCATGCTTACCAAGTAAGAAATTCTAAGCTAGAACTGTGAAGCAGTCACATGTGAATGTAGGCTCTGTCAGCCGTGGATGGAGGAGTGAATAGTCTGGGTGGAGGCTCCCTGGGGGGCCACTGGACCCTTTGGTAAGCAAAACAGATACTTCTAAGAAAGCAGTTATTGGTCTTTTAAGTTTGTCACCAGGACTGGCCCAGTGACCTAGGTGAGAAATGTTCCCACAGAGGTATTCTCACCACAGATAACAACTTAGTTTAAGGCATGACTAAGTCATGACTCCAGAGAAGACTTGAAATACAAGACTAGTTTACATATTGGAGCAAGGGGTGAAAATGGTCCTTGTATCATTCCTGACTATGTTACAAGTTGCTGTGCATGGATGTAGAGCAGCTGCTCAGCAGCATCTGGCTAAGAGCATCATGAGACGCTCAGGATTCCCAGGAGGGAGACAGGGCTCTCAGTAACCTCTGTCTGCATGGAAGTGCCCATAATCTGAATTAATTAATTCATTCACTCACTCATTTGTTCATTCCATGATACGATCTCACTTTCATGCTAGAAAAGAGGCAATGGAAATGGCCTTACGATGCTGAAAAACTCAAAGGGTGGTCATCCAGAGGTGGGGAGGTTGCTCCCTGGCTTCTGACATGAAAATGTGTGTTTCTTCAAACGCTAATTTGAAGACTAGAATAGGTTACTCTTTGTGCGGCTATTTGTTCTTTGAAGTTCAAATTTTAAACTAAATTGTGATTTTTTTTTCAGTACTAGTGACTAACTTAGATCCTCACATAAAAATCACACAAATTATGTTTTTTTTCTTTCTTTTTTTCAAGAAATAGTTCAACTGTTCTCTTGGGTAGTCAGTTTGGGGCTTTAAATTCTTTTTATTTTCATATAACCCAAGTGGACAATTAAACAAGGTTGGATTAAAATAACCACACTATTCAACAAGAGAGTGTTAAGGAAGAGAAAAAAAATCAGTCTTCACATTTGTCAGTTAGTCCTTTTTTAATAAATTTGAATTCATTCAACAAGTTTCATATTGTATCTGTCACTCAATTTTGCTGTTTTTTTTTTTCACGTCAAATAATACCAAAAAATTACACCAATGTGCTTAAGCAAAACCGGGTTTAAGTTTATCTTTACAATGAAATGAAATCGACGTGGCTCTCAATCAGGACAGCAACCGCCTATTCCTACTAGAACAATCCTGTACTTACCTTGAACACATCTACTGACTTGGGAAGTAGAAAAATGAGTCATGAATGACATGTTTGTGGGCCATCCCTAGGAGAGGTATGGTGCGTGAGCCAGTCTGGGAGGTCACTGTTACAAGGTAAGGGGATTTAGTCATTCAGGAAAACATGGCACCTTTCAATGCAGTAGAAGAGGTAATCAGTCCAAGGCACACTCGCCAGTGTCCTGGGAAATTTTCTCCACCAGGGCGGTTCCTTGCCCCAAGAGTCAACGTTACACTGAAGGAAAGTTCACACTGACATGAAAGCCAGCATTCGTTCCAAGAGTAACAAAGTAGTTTACCAGTGGTTCAGTTGGCTTATAGAAAATGGCCAGAAATATGAACTCATTTTCAGGTGGAGGGCTAAAATATGAATTTTAGTAGGGTTATGCTTTTAAGTAAGGAGGTTCAAAATTGGACACATCTTTTCAGAATGTGTTCACATGGGGCACACAACTACAACTGCAAGGTGCCCGTCTCCTCTGAGATCATCTCATTGGCGAAATTGTCAATTCCACGTTTCAAAAGAAGAGAAGTGTTTTTGGTGGGAACAACTGAAGATGTCCCCATGTTGGCATCAAAACACACAATTCTGCAGATGGACATGTCACTTGAAACCTAATGGGAATAATATTATGATCCACTTTCTAGTTCATCTGAGATTCAGGGGCATTGAGTGGGCCATGCCATTGACATCACAACCCCTCAACAGTCCTGGGGCTGGTGAGCAGGAGTGACTACTGTTTTAAAGATGGTTCCGCTCTGGTAAGTCTTGCTCTGCTGGGATTGATGGAGGAGGGCTCTTGAGTTGTCACAGACATATCTGACAATGACTAATAGAGGGCTGTCATCAAGGCATCAACACCGTGAGCCCACTGCGAAGCATTTCATTTTGGAAAGACAGTACTACTGAGAAAATTAATGGTTTATTGAGTTGATGAGAAATTAAATTTTCTGTTCTTAAGAGCTCTAGGCATGGGTAACAGCCACCTCCCATCAGAGGTCCTGGTGGAATCCCTTTGTGCACTCACTCACTGGCTCAAACGGCTACCGTAAAAGGACAAGAGGTTACTTTCCTAGAACAGGGATGAGATCCCACTCTTCTGCTAGAACAGCCAGAGTTCTCGTCTCAACACTTCTCACAGCTTTAAAAAATAGAGAAGCCATAAAATAATTTATTAGGAGAAAAGTATTTTTCTTCTGAAATGGAGTAAAGCAAACACATACCCAAGGATCTTAAAAAGGATTTTTTTTTTACAGAATACATGTATGTATTTGTGTGTGTGTGTGTGTGTGTGTGTGTGTGTGTGTGTGTGTGTGTGTGTGTGTGTGTGTGTGTGTTTGTGTATGTGTATAATTACAAATGCTACTTAGAGTCTAGATACTATGGTAACTTCATTGCAGTGTCTATAAAGTTGTGGATCCCAGTCTTGGTGCCAAATGCATATAAAAAGCTCAAAAGCTATTATGACTACACCATGCAAATTTATATCCAGAGATTCCCAGGGAGTGCACTGCTGCTCTTCTGAGCCCTGTGGAGTCTCTGCCTCTGATATGTGGGTATCTCAACGATGCATCAAAAAAGTTTAGAGTCACTTTTCTCCCAGAAAAAAAAGTCACAGTTCTTAGTATGATAAATTATCAGTCGCTGACTCCTGCCACACTGTTTGCATTTTGGGCTCCCTCTTCTACATGTGGCACTCACATCTTCAGTTACAGGATACACAGAGAGATGCCTGAAGTATTGAAAGGGATAAGGTCTTTGCAAACATTTGTTTTTCTTTAACATGTTACAATGATAAGGCCACTTACAGGATTTTTTTTTTTCAAATCTGTTTAACTTGTTGCCTCCTCCCACTGTTACCCATGAAAAAGAAAATTTCCAGAGAAAAGCCAAAGGCCAAAATTCACAGGCTCATCTCCAGACAGAAAATAAAGCCAAAGAGCAGTAATTGGAAGAAAACTTCGTAGACAAGAAGGGAGGAGGCAAAGGGCATAAAATTCAGTAACTGTCCCTACGTGAGATCTTGTGGATGAAGCTTTTATCTAATGTTGTATTTTCAACAGTCAGACTCCCACATATTGAAGATCGCTATAGCCACCAAGTAATCAAGTAGTGTCAGTCCGTGGTGGCAGTCCACACCACATGCATCCTGGGGAAGGAGGTGGTGCTGCCTGCGTGGTAAACAATGGTGCCAGATTTGAGGGTGACGCATGTGTGGGGCTTGGGGTTATTAATTTAGCAGTTCTTTACTGCACATTTTGCTTTTTATCCTGTCTTTCAAATGCTTCGCTGTGACACCTGTTTACACAACTGCAGTCGGTTTATGGATGCCTGTGATAGAAATAGTTTACAAAAAATATATCATCTTTGTTTTTCTTTAGAAAGAGCTCATCTAAATAGTAAGTTAAGGTTGCGTCTATGAAACCGGTGCACCTTGTCTTATTTCTACGAGCTTTAAAAAGTCCAAATACTGATGAGGCTGTGGATCAGAAGGAACCAAAAGAGACTGTGTTTGTGTCAGGTTGTCCTCCTTGCCTCAGGAACGGTCATGGGGTGTTGCATGATCATGTGTGTACTGGTCGTGTTCCTGCAGAGTCCTAGTCAGTCTAGGAGGAGTTGGGTGTGCTTATGAGACATGTCAGTATGGAAATAAAGGCTGTGAGGATGTTTCTTAAGTTTCCAAAAGTGAACAGTAGAAACATTTTAGATTCCATCTTAATTTCTAGATAACAGAAAGTAGTTACATCACAGAATGAAAAATATGACGTTGCATGCTGCCATGATAGCAAGCAGAAGAAACAAAATCTTGGTAATATACATATGTATGCATATTATGCAAATATATTTATATTAACATACAATGTTATAAGAATGATAACATAACTGCAAGGGGGAATCACTCTAGATGGTTTTACCTTAGAGTAACAAAGAACCTGAGACGTCTATGCTTCCAGTTAAATAGCGGACCTAGAAATCTGGACAAGATGTAGAGCACATTTTTAGTGATTGAATTTCATTATCAAAATGTGCCACTGTGTTCCCACAAGACAGTTAAGCTGGACCCACTTAATGTTAACAGAAATCCCCCACATGTATGGGGCCGTGGAGTACTTACAATGGGACACCGTTTACTCCCAGTGAGTTTTCAAGAGATGGACATTCAGACATGAGCATGGGAGCTACCTACCAGTAAGAACCAGGTAAGAGCGCTGCCAGACTCACCTCACATGCTCACCCACTACAGAGAAGCATACCTGATGAAACAAGCCCATCACATAGAAGCCAACAAGCCTTGGCTGCAAACTGAAAGAGAGGATATGAGGTGTACAACTACCACTGTGGGAGTTCCCCAAGATTAACTAAGAATTCCTTTCTGGCTTTTAAGAGAAAATATCTAACTTATGATAATAAAAGACACACTTTGGGATGACTGTGTTTCACGCCCTCATTCTTGAGGCATAATATTTAGATACTTGTCCCTTTCAATTAAAAAAGAAAAAAAAGCTATGACTTTCTTTAATATGCATCCTGTGTTAAATTGTCCATAGTTGCAAAATGTATGGTATGTATGCGTATTTGTTTTACATACACAGATACTCACACCTGCGTATATAAACACATACACATACATCCTCATATACACGTGTATTTTATATATATGCTGAGAAAGTTCACATATATATACAATTGTGTGTGTGTGTATGTGTGTATGTGTGTGTGTGTACTGGTATAAAAACTTGACAGGCAGGGTAATATTTCACTCAGTGTTAAATGAAGTCTTTGAAAAATCAAGTACAGTCACTCAGTTAACATAGTACAGCCAGTAAACTAAGTTGAAAAGAGAAAAGGTGAATGGAAACACGATCCGGGACCATCTGTCTATGGCATTCACATCGGTTAGATCAGGGATTTTGATTTTGAGCTGCGAAGACCTCCTCCGTAGGTGGGTCTTCTTGTGCGGGATGCTTCTGTCTCCCATGTACCGCCCATGCCCTTCCCTGGGCATGCTCTGTTTCCTATACTGGATTCCTGAGTTGTCAAAGGATATTGCTGAATTCCTGGTGTCACCAACGCTGCCTGCAACCTCATTCATTTCATTGTGAACCTCCAGCGATGTTAATAGGATATTCCCATGAGCATCCACCTAATTGGGGAAAAAAGGTACACTCTTAGGAGCTAGCATGCCATTAATTTACTTTTTATATGCAAGCCCAGGGCAGAATGATGTTAGAGAATCATGCAATATAGTTTATGAGAATGTGTACATCTGTCAACCCTTTGCATCATTTTATAGGAAAAAGACCATTTTGGAAATTTAACTGCAGCTTAGAGACCATATTTCCTTTATTTGAAAGTTCTTACAGAGGACATGAAAAGAGAAAGGGAGCTTTACCAAATTGATATTTCGTGTTATAGATCAGAGTCCCTACTGAAGAGAAAACTGAAGTGCAAACCCCTTCCAGGATTTTACCTCTGTGCAAGTAACTGTTCATAATTGTGCAGTGAGTGGAAATGGTGGCGCTCTCCCTTCCTTGGCTGCACTTCAGCAGGTACCATCTAGTCTAGATGTGGCAATGCCATAATACTTGTGTCACTCAGCCTCTCTTCCCAGTCATGGAAGCATCAGATAGCACAGTCACGGATCACGCACATAGCTTTCCTAGGAGTGCATTGTTAGGATTACTCCATTTTCTTACCATGCTCTGTTGTTAACCTCTCACTGTACCACTAATAACTTTAACTTTGTCCTAGACATGAACCTCTCATTGTACCACTGATACCTTAACTTTGTCTTAGGCATGGACCTCTTACTGTACCACTGATACCTTAAGTATGTCTTAGGAATGGCAGAGTACATGTAACATTTGGTAACAGCTGTGGTTTCAAGTAGATACAGGGGTATTCTTAGGAAGTTAGCTTGCTCTCTTTTGAATGCTGGCATTGGACCCAGGTCCAACATCTGCTAGGTATGCTATCTTTCCCTCAGCACATGTCAGCCTGCCAGCCCTGTTTCTGATTACTTAAACTGCCAGATCACTGTGGAGAAGCACAGGGACAGTCCTGATGCTCCTGGTGATTGCTGGGGTAGACACAGATGTGGGGTTCTGCCTAATTGTGGCCCTGGCAGAAATCTTCTTTTGCAAGCACCACATTTATTTATTTATTTATTTAATTTTAGAATTTAATTTAATTTTACATATCAGCCACGGATTCCCCTGTCCTCCCTCCTCCTGCCCCCCCTCCCGTCAGCCCACCCTCCATTCCCATCTCCTCCAGGGCAAGGACTCCCCTCGGGATTCAGCTCAGCCTGATAGATTAAGTCGAGGCAGATCCAGTCCCTTCCTCCCTTCACCCAGGCTGAGCAAAGTGTCCCTGCATAGGCTCCAGGTTCCAAACAGCCAGCTCATGCACTAAGGACAGGTCCAGGCCCCACTGCCTGGGGGCCTCCCAAACAGTTCAAGTTAATCAACTGTCTCACTTATCCAGAGGGCCTGATCCAGTTGGGGGCTCCTCAGCTATTGGTTCATAGTTCATGTGTTTCCACTTGTTTGGCTGTTTGTCCCTGTGCTTTTTCCAATCATGGTCTCAACAATTCTCGCTCCTACTCCGGTGATCAGATGGCCAAACACCCTAACTGTCGTGCTAGAACTCCCATCCAATGACTGATGGAAGCGGATGCAGAGATCCATGGCCAGGCCCCAGGTGGAGCTCCAGGAGTCCAACTAGCAAGTAAGCACCACATTTAAAGCAGCACATCTCTTTCTACAGTGAAGTCTAACTTTAAAATAATAAATTTTAATTCTTTGCTAAATATAGCTTTAGACCTTCTGTGACAAGGCCAGGGGTTTGTGTGTGTTTTAGGTTGCCACCGAATTTTCAGTAGCCTCTCTGTGGATGAAGGACTATGCACCTTGGGGAACCTGTGGCTTGGGGTCCCTGGTGGAGTTCATTCTGGGATCAGACTGTAGCTGTTATGGCCTGCTTCCCTGAGCACTCATTCCTGCATGCTCTATATCCTTTCATCTCTGTCCCTCCTTTTCCCTGGAGCACTGTATCCCTTTTCCTTTCTTTGTCCCTGGCTAGCCTACCCTTTCTTTTAGTACTAGATTCATAGTATATGGATTTTTCTACGAACTGCTAGTGGTTCTGTAGAATGACTTATTGATATATTCATTTGAGTCTTCCCAGCTTATAGAAGGCATCCCTTACTCTCATTGAACATGCTAAGCTAAATGAGAGGGTGGTAAGGTGGGCAAAGAGTACTCTTGACTCTTCCCCAAGAAGAGATAGGGAGCTATGTGAAGCACTGGGAAGGTTAAAGCCCACAGAGTCACAGCTACTAACTGCAAAGCAGCCAAGGCTCATTAAGGCTGCAATACTAGAGGCCACTTGGGCTCTTGCCACTGAGCTGATCACACTCCTGTTTGAGAATACCTCTCAAGGTAACTTAACTGTGCCCTAGCTAGATCAATTCTCATTTGCCAGAGCTTGCAAGCAGGTTACAAGGGGATTTTGTAGATGCAATTAAGGGTAGAGCCCTCAAGATAGTTTATCTTAAATTGCTGGATGGATGCAATATCATCACATATTCTTTCCTAAGCATAGCAGAGAACTTTTCTAGCTAGAAGCAGAAGGACAAGTCAGCAGATGAATACCCAGCCTAAGGAGGACTCAACTTGCCTTTGGTGGGAGGTCCTGCAGGAACAGGTTCATTATGAGGGAATAGGACAGCCCATAGGAGCAAAGATTGACCCCCGATGATGACAGCTGGGCAGTCCAGCCCCCTGCTGATTGTGCACTCTTATCTCAGCTGCTTTGGTTTTAGCCTGTGAGATAGGGGCTTCTCACCTGAGTTCTACCCTCCTAGTACTTTTGACCTAAGAGATGTGTGATAAACATGAGTGCTGCTTTACCCTGTTAAGTTTATGGTAATCTGCCATAGCAACCCTCAATAATGCTAATAGGATGAGGGGAAATATGAGATGTGCATTTGCCTACCATGAGAAGTAACACAGAAAGAGAGAGAGAGAGAGAGAGAGAGAGAGAGAGAGAGAGAGAGAGAGAGAGAGAGAGAGAATTTTTAGGTCAAAGTATGCAACACATCACAAGCAAAGACCCAAAGTAAAGCCTCTGTGTAAGGTCAAGTAGCTGAATAAACTCAAGTTCTTAAGATAATGGATCCACCCATGCTATGCCTCTTGGTGGGTGGAGTTCTTGCTGCTTTTTCTCTGCCATTATCATCTTCCCACCATCTAATTAATCATAATAATAGAGGACACTTGGTGATGAATGGGAAGGTAAATAAGCCTGGGCCAGTAAGGTTTTCTGTAATATTATGCTTAGGAACTCCAACCCTATGCTTTTAGAATAGAGTGCAAAAAGCAATTTCTAGAAAGACAAAAGAAATGATGTTTCTGAAGTCGAGTGCATGCTTGCAGGGTCAAGAATAAGAGCTGGATCTGAGAGGTGACAAGGGAGTCTAATACACAGGTTTCTATGACCAATAGCAGTCTGAAAAGAAATGCTAACAGAGCAGACAGATGTCCTCTTCCTGCTCCTGGACAGATCCCAGAGTTGATCTTTGGTCTCTAGGTGGCTAGTGTGCCTGCAGCAGCAGAAGCTTGGTTCTGGATCTGGGCAGTTCTGATTTGTGGTGGGTTTGTTGTCCATTTTTCAAAGCAGGGTCTCAGCATAGCCTAGGCTGACCAAGAACTCGCTCTGGAGCACAGGATGGCCTCAAACTCATGGCAGTCTTCTTACCTCAGTCTCCTATGTGCTTGAATTACAGGTGTGGGCCACTAAACTTGCCTTTTTTTTCTTGGAAGTTTTAATGGAGGAGGAGGGGAGAGACAGTTCTCTCTTACCCCATCCAGTCTTGATGAAACTGGGATGCACTAAGAGTTAATGGTGCTTATATCTTAATCTTATAGTAATGAGAAAGTTGGGATTGGTTAGGACTTTGTATTGTCTCTCAGTTTTTGTTTTCCCCCAATCTTCCCTTAGAATGATTGATAATAAAATCCTTTCAATGACAAAGGCTGTTTGCTGTCTTCAGAACCAGGCAGACTGTTCCAGTGATTTTTCAGACTGAGTTGTTCATGGTTCCAGCAGGATGAGACAGCTGAAGCCACAAATGAATTACCTCAGGGATGGGGGCAATTTGAACTACCTCTCATGAGGTAGAGGGAGCCCGTGAAAAGATGGCAGAGATGGTCTTTGCGTCCAGCATCGTCAAAAGCAAGTGTGCAGGTCAGAGTCTGTCCCACTAGTGTTGGCCTCTCTCTGGCACAGCCCAGAGTGCTTTATGGCACAAAGGATTTGAGCAGGTCGGTGAAGGAAGGATGCTCCCAAGGCATCTTGATTTAGAGAGGGGCTGGGAAGGGACTCAGCCAGGTAGATCCTGCCATTTAGTTTATTTCATTACTTCATTTGACTGTGGTGAAGATGGCCATTGTTCTACCCAATATCTGGCTTTAAATCATGGAGACAGTACATTCACTCACCATGTACTTAAATTAAGTGGGGTCTACATTAAATTAGTTTAATTTAATTCTTTTTCTATGATCAACATTTTAAAATGTTACATGGTAAGCTG